ACAGCTGGTTCACGGCCATGAACACCTAGACGGACGCAAAAACAAAAGCAACAACACCAAAAACCGTACGAAGACCTATACATAAAGAAACCTAGCCCAAACCATAAAATGTGACCTAACAGTAACAATATCTATTGCTAAAATGTTTCCTCACGCCCATCACAGAATACATTCTCCCCATTTCTATTCCAATATATTATATAAATACGGAAGGAGTAAAGCAGTTAATTCATTGTCTTAGAAACCTTGAGCGTATACAGTTTTTGAATTTAATGTTGTTTTGCAAATAAAAAAAACAATAACATAAAAACTAACTCTATGGGAATACCGAAAAATAAACAATCCTAAAAAATGACCAAGTGCATGTTTTCAAGGCAATCGGTACAATCTTATTATATCTAACAATTTGTAGTCCATAAATTAATTGTCATGTTATACAAGGAGGATGACAAGGTTGATATTGATCGACTTTTTCCATGTATCAATGTAGTAGTGGAAATTTCAAAATCAAAATTTTGCATGTGTTAGTCTTTGATATTAATCACTATGCTTTCAGATATTTGATATTTACTTTGTGAAATGTTATTTTTTGTAGTGTCATTACCAACAACACTCGCCTAATGGGTCGATGATGAGGTAAAAAAACAATGAAAGAAAATGCTAGTATTAATTAGACGGTCCATTTGATCTCAAACCACAGAGTCGAGGTTAAGGACTTCAAAAGGAATATCATACTAGACTTTAAAAAAAATGCATTTACATGTAGACAATGGAAAATATTTGGCATACCTTGTGGTCATTTTATTAAGAGTGATAATGATCAACAATTATGAAGAATGTGTGTTGTATGCTATAGAAAGCTTTCTATACCGAGACATTGGTGAATAGCTACAAGGAACTTCAAAAACCTTTGCCAACCCCATCTAATTGGGAGATCTCCGATAGTCAGATGATTGTACGACCAATAATAATAATAATAATAGACAAATATCAACCTGACACCCCGACATAAGAGGTCCATAAACGTAGACTGTATTCTATCATAAGATGAGCATCCAATAAGAAAATAGTGTTATACATGCGGTCACATAGGACATGTGATAAACAATTGTCCGGGATGTCCTCTTGCGAATGGATCACGACACACGAGAAATACTAGGGATAATGAATAACATATGGCCACAAATCCCCTACAGCCCTGCTGCAGACTCTGCCTCGCACTAGCAGCCGAACAAAATGATGACTCTGGACGGGTACCGTCACTGTACACCATAAGTATAACCCCAATAGGGTCTCGAATCATCACCAGTTGATGCTCGTAGTCGATAATAGCTCCAAATTGGCTCAACCAATCCATGCCCACGATGACACATACGTCCTCCATCGCAATCGGGACTAGATCGATCGGGAACCCTACACCAAAGACCTCAATTCTACATCCTCGAATCACCTCTGTGGCATACACTGCTCGCTCGTTAGCTATAGAAACTCGCAGAGGTCGACTAAAGGCCTCTCGACGAATACTGATATAACGACTAAAAGCTAACGACACAAAAGATCGACTTGCTCCCGAGTCAAAAAGCACTAAGGCGGGTACAGAATTCACACGAAAGGTACCTACACATAACATAATATAAGCATAATATCTCAGACTCAAATAAATAGGGAGACGAATACATACCGGCCACAACGTCGGGTGCTGCGCGGACCTCCTCCGCTGTCAACTGGAAGGCTCTCCCGCGAGCCTTCGGCGCCTCAGCCTTCACTGGCCGAACCTCGGTAGCCCTAGCAGCAGGCGCAGATCCCTGCGCTGATCCCTGAAGTAGCTGAGGGCACTCGGCCTTCCGATGTCCGGTCTGGTTGCAATGGAAGCAAACCGAAAATCCCTTGGGCCAATCCCTCGCAATATGCCCCTACTTCCCGCACTTGTAGCATACTCCTTCCCGACACGACCCCTTGTGACTCTTGCTGCACTTCCCACAAGTGCATCCCTTCGCGCTCCCGGATCTCGAATCAGCGGGCTTTGCCCGCTTCGCTGCCGGCTGAGACTGAGCCAGCCGCCGATCCATCCTTTATGACTCGGCCTCCTCCCTGGCCTGAGTCTCCAACTCAATCTCCCTCTTCCGGGCATTTTCCTGGAGCTCAGCAAATGTCCAGTAAGTCGAGTTCGCCATGAACTCCCGAATATCTCTCCTCAAAACACTCAGATACCGGCTCATGCGAGCCTGCTCGGTAGACACCTGCTTAGGGCAAAACATCGTCCTCTCATGAAACATCCGCGTAATCACTGTAACTGAATCAGTACCCTGCTTGAGGGTCAAAAACTCCTAAATCAATTGTTCCCTCTCCACCGGAGGAACATACTCGTCTCTGAACATGGCGGTGAACCTCTCCCAGGTCACCTCAAAAATCTCTGCTAGAGTGAAGCTCGCCGTCACGAACTTCCACCAATCCTTCGCTCCCAAGCGGAGCTGGTTCAGAGCGAACCGTACCCTCAAGTGCTTTGGACAAGAACACGTGTAGAAACATCCCTCGATGTCATAGATCCATCTCATCGCAGCAATCAGGTCCTGTGTCCCATCGACAGGGCCGGTCCAATGAGTTTTAATGCCCAGGGCGAGATACCAAAATGATGCTCTTTTTAGCTTATATATATATATATATATATATATATATATATATATATATATATATATATAAGGGCATCATTAACACAACATTAATCTCGTTTTTAACACTACAGTTGATATAAAAATAATGAATTTTCCCAATTTTATTAATCTTTCATCACATTACTCTCTATTAAAAAAAAATCAACCCTTAGAATAAAACCTATAACCAATCAAAACCCAATTTAAATTTTAAATAGTCCAAATCAAATTCAATCAAATGAACAAACCACTGCCACCATCGGCTTTCTTCATGCTAAGTATCTCAATCCAACTCTCTATTTCTGATAAACCATCAGGTGCACCAGTTTTTTCAAGAAAATAATAAAAACTTGGTATCATTTTCTTCTTTTAATTAAGAAGAAACAAGACTTCATGGCTCCACACGTTCCATTATTTAACAAACACAAAAGGCATGGGTGTTAGAAATAGGAATTGCTATAAGTTTTTTTTACTCATTTCAAGTTACAGATGTTCAAATTCTTCATTAACTTTGAGCTTTTAAAAGAAATATATTGCCTTTTAAGCATAATTAAAACAGATGCTAATAGACAAGTGTGTTGTTTTTTTTTTAAATAATCATTCTATATCTAATGAGCAAATATGTAAAGTAACAAAAAGATAACATTTTCAAAATTGGAGATAAAACTAATGTATACTTAGATGGAAAGAAACTATATCTCAAAAAAAATCTTTGTGGTTGCAATAAAATGTTCGAATACGATGTACGCTGCTGTGGGTTGATTCCGACCACCAGATTCTTCAGCATTGCACAATCTCCCTCTGTAAATGAAAAACTGAAATCTATTAGTTATCTGAAAACTCAAAGTTGCATCGTGAAAGAAGAAGAATCACTGCAATATCATAAAAGCTTCAGAAAAATTGAATCTACTGTAATGAAAAATCAGAAGAATCAGAAACTGAGAAAAGATTAAGAATTTAATTCAATTGAAATCAAAAATCTAGCAACTCATTTCTCCAAATGAAATCAGAATTGTAGTTTAGGGTTTAAGCGACTAACATCTCCAATGGAAATAAGAAATCAGAAATCAATTACCATTGTTATCTTCGTGTATTGTTGATATACCCCCCTTGTCTCCTCGTTTTCTCCAGTTCCTCCCGACTCTCGAAACCCTACTAGGCGTGCCACGACAGTTGCTAATTTAAATAAAATGCAGTCTTTTTTTTTAGCCACCAGAAATGAATCGCCGCTTCTTGGTTTATGTTGCCTACTGGACTCAAGTGGTGGACATGTGATCTTGACCAATTGTTAGGCCCTAACTAAAATATACCCATGAGAACTGTACATATTATGATGCCCCTGCCACATTGTTGCCCTGGGCTTTAGCCCAGCTCGCCCTGCCCTTGGGTCGGGCCTGCCCATCGAACTCTGGTGGCTTTGTGTTGTTGAACTCCCGAAACAACAACGAATCACCTCCCTGAGGTTTGGCAGCAGCAACAGTAGTAGTAGCTGCAGCAGCCGCAGCCTCAGTTACTGTTGCATACCGCTCGTCAAAGGTCACTATCAATGTGGTCTTGATGTCCCTGAACATCTCTGGAATCTTAGCCCGGATGGCAGCAACCACCTCCTCAGGAATTAATCGACGGATCTCCTCGTCGCTGACACCACTTCTCCCAGGTGTGTGTCGTGTCCCAACCATAATGCCTCTGAAATACAACATAAAAATAGCATAGACTCATTCGAGCATACTCGCACTCGATAACGTAACCCTACTCGTCCTCCAATATCCAAAGGATTCTTACTTGGACTGCTCACTGACCCGGTGTCTTCAGTAGTATGGGCCCTATACTACTGACCATACCGCATCAGCATTCACCCCAAGTCCTCCACCTTGGATCCCGAATCGCAAGTACTCTACTCTCGTTATGCATTGGCTACCCTCCGATAGACCTCTCATGAGCTCCTAACTGCTACCTACTCACTCTCAAGGCATCTCATAGCAGCCATAATCTCCTAGGCTAAGGCATCACAAATCAGGCAACTCTAGTCCTAATATGAATACCTAGCCTACTCTAGCATGCATAACATAATATATCCTATAACACATAATATAAGGGTGTTTTGGGGATTCACCGTTCGGGTGCTAGCTGACCGTACACACTGCTATGCTCTTCTCTTTTTAAACCATTTACACTTTTTAAAACTTGTTTTATTTAAAAAAAATTCTCTCAAATCCTCAATTTGAATTCAAATACGCCCGAAGGTGCATCGGAGTCCCTCAAACCAACACTCTGATACCAACTTGTAACGACAGAATTTTCAAAACAAAATTTTCCTTTTTCAAAAACCAAATTTATATAAAAATATTC